CAGGGGAGGTCTCATCATCATTTCAGCGGTCTCCGCTAGGTTTTCACTATATATTTTGAATATCAAACTGGCATTTTGGGCCTTCTGTAAACATAGACGATAGAAAGTCTACCCAGATTCCTTTTAGTCACATTTGTATCTACCTATTAACTAACTGTCTGCTTAATATTAGGCAGATTGAGAGATCAGGGGGCTCTCACCATTGCCCTGTGGCCTTTGTCCTGAAATTTTGACAATTTTTAGCTGAAAAGTGACAATCTAAGCCCTCCGTAGATATAGAAGATGACAATATTATGGGAAATCCTTTTGATACAACCTTTATATATACAGATCCTTTGATTTTCTCGAATTATATGGACACTGAAAGACCAGGGGGGCTCATCGTCATTTCAGCGGTCTCCGGTAGGTTTTCACTATATATTTTGAATATCAAACTGGCACTTTGGGCCCTCCGTAAACATTGACGACAGGAAGTCTACCCAGATTCCTTTACGTCACGTTTGTATCTACCTATTAACTAACTGTCTGCTTAATATTATGCAGATTTAGAGAATAGGGAGCTCTCAGCATTGCCATGTGCCCTTTGTCCTGAAATGTTTACAATTTTTAGCTGAAAAGTGACAATCTAAGCCCTCCGTAGATATCAAAGATGACATCATTCTAGGAAATCCTTTTGATACAACCTTTATATATACAAAGTCTATGATTTCCTCGAATTATATGGACATTGAAAGACCGGGGGGGGGTCTAATCGTCATTTCAGCGGTCTCCGATGGGTTTTCACTATATACTTTGAATATCAAACTGGCACTTTGGGCCCTCCGTAAGCATAGACGATAGGAAATCTACCCAGATTCCTTTTAGTCACGTTTGTATCCATCTATTAACTAACTGTCTGCCTAATATGATGCAGATTGAGAGAACAGGGAGCTGTCACCATTGCCCTGTGCCCTTTGTGCTGAAATGTTTACAACTTTTAGCTGAAAAGTGACAATCTAAGCCCTCCGTAGATATCGAAGATGACATTATTCTGGGAAATCCTTTTGATACAACCTTTATATATACAGAGTCTATGATTTCCACGAATGATATGGACATTGAAAGACAAGGGGGGGGGGGGGGGGGGGTCTCATCGTCATTTCAGCGGTCTCCGGTAGGTTTTCACTATATATTTTGAATATCAAACTGGCACTTTGGGCCCTCCGTAAACATAGACGACAGGAAGTCTACCCAGATTCCTTTTAGTCACGTTTGTATCTACCTATTAAATAACTATCTGCTTAATATTATGCAGATTTAGAGAACAGGGAGCTCTCACCATTGCCATGTGCCCTTTGTCCTGAAATGTTTACAATTTTCAGCTGAAAAGTGACAATCTAAGCCCTCCGTAGATATCAAAGATGACATTATTCTAGGAAATCCTTTTGATACAACCTTTATATATACAAAGTCTATGATTTCCTCGAATTATATGGACATTGAAAGACCGGGGGTCTCATCATCATTTCAGCGGTCTCCGATGGGTTTTCACTATATATTTTGAATATCAAACTGGCACTTTGGGCCCTCCGTAAGCATAGACGATAGAAAGTCTACCCAGATTCCTTTTAGTCACGTTTGTATCTACCTATTAACTAACTGTCTGCCTAATATTATGCAGATTGAGAGAACAGGGAGCTTTCACCATTGCCATGTGCCCTTTGTGCTGAAATGTTTACAATTTTTAGCTGAAAAGTGACAATCTAAGCCCTCCGTAGATATCGAAGATGACATTATTCTCGGAAATCCTTTTGATACAACCTTTATATATACAGAGTCTATGATGTCCTCGAATTATATGGACATTGAAAGACCGGGTGAAGGGAGTCTCATTGTCATTAAAGCGGTCTACGGTAGGTCTTCACTATATATATTTTGAATATCAAACTGGCACTTTGGGCCCTCCGTAAACATAGACGATAGGAAGTCTACCAAGATTCCTTTTAGTCACGTTTGTATCTACCTATTAACTAGCTGTCTGCTTAATATGAGGCAGATTGAGGGATCAGGGAGCTCTCACCATTGCCCTGTGCCCTTTGTCCTGAAATTTTGACAATTTTTAGCTGAAAAGTGACAATCTAAGCCCTCCGTAGATATCAAAGATGACATTATTCTAGGAAATCCTTTTGATACAACCTTTATATATACAAAGTCTATGATTTCCACGAATTATATGGACATTGAAAGACCGGGGGGGGTCTCATCGTCATTTCAGCGGTCTCCGATGGGTTTTCACTATATACTTTGAATATCAAACTGGCACTTTGGGCCCTCCGTAAGCATAGACGATAGGAAGTCTTCCCAGATTCCTTTTAGTCACGTTTGTATCTACCTATTAACTAACTGTCTGCTTAATATTAGGCAGATTGAGAGATCAGGGAGCTCTCACCATTGCCCTGTGCCCTTTGTCCTGAAATTTTGACATTTTTTAGCTGAAAAGTGACAATCTAAGCCCTCCGTAGATATCGAAGATGACATTATTCTGGTGAATCCTTTTGATATAACATTTACATATACAGAGTCTATGATTTCCTTGAATTATATGGACATTGAAAGACCAGGTAGGAAGGGGGGGGGGGGGGGGGGGGTTGGTCTCATCGTAATTTCAGCGGACTCCGGTAGGTTTTTCACTTTATATTTTGAATATCAAACTGGCACTTTGGGCCCTCCGTAAACATAGACGATAGGAAAGTCTACCCAGATTCCTTTTAGTCACGTTTGTATCCACCTATAAAATAAGTGTCTGTTTAATATTAGGCAGATTGAGAGATCAGGAAGCTCTCGACATTGCCCTGTGCCCTTTGTCCTGAAATTTTGACAAATTTTAGCTGAAAAGTGACAATCTAAGCCCTCCGTAGATGACATTATTCTGGAAAATCCTTTTGATGCAACCTTTATATATACAGAGTCTATGATTTCCTCGAATTATATGGACATTAAAAGACCAGGTTGTCTCATCGTCATTTCAGCGGTCTCCGGTAGGTTTTCACCATATATTTTGAATATCAAACTGGCACTTTGGGCACTCCGTAAACATAGACGATAGGAAGTCTACCAAGATTTCTTTTGTTCACGTTTGGGTATTGAATATCGAATATCGAATAACGAACCGGCTGCTAAATTCACATTCACCGGTGACCCATACTTTTTATTATATTTTTGATAAAAGCATGATATATATTAACTACATTTTGACAAATTATTAAAAATTCTATGGATATTAATGAAGACCCCTATCCACCTTAATCAGGTGATTGTTTTTCAAGGTCTGCAAGGTCTTCAGTGGTGGATCCAGAAATTTTAAAAGGGTGGCTCATTGACTGCCATAAGAGGGGGCCCGCTTAGTCATGCTTCAGTGATTCCCTTAATAGTCAACCAAATTTTTGAAAGATAACGTTCTATTGCTTATCACATTGACTGTTAAACAGGGAATATTCGAAAATAACTGTTAAACCATAGATATAATAGTCATAGATAAAGTACTCAGAATTTGTCACACTGAGCCCCATGTAGTTTCCTTTGAAATATCAAAAGCAGGGCACTGCGCGTAGTGGCCTATGATGTAGATGATATTTGCCGACATCCTCCCAATAGACTAATTACTTATCATAATTATATTTAAATTATCGGGCACTCGTCTTATCAACCGATAATTAATATGCGTTACCTGTCTCAAGTAATAATATGCCGTGACGGGGAAGCAATATAAAGCGTCTGGTTGTAAAAGTTGTTCGGATTGTAATTTATTTGGAGAAAATCGGTCAACAAATGAAAAGGTTATGCTGTTGTTGAAATAATAAAATAGAGAAATCATGAAAAATGGACTGAACAGGCATGTAAAATTAAATTGTCATAGCACTTGCATCGGTTGCACTCGGAAAATAAGACCTGTATGATTGTCAAGAGGAGACATATCGTTTACTGATGGTATACGTGGTTAAGAGGTCGAACCTGGTCGAATTTTTCTATGGCGAGTTAAAGAAATTTCTTTTTTATCGAGATTCAAAATAGTGTAATCATATTTTATGCCAGAAAGAAGAAATTATTATTTTTTAGAAAAGAAAAAAGATTTTTACAAGTGTTGAAACTTTCTGTCGTAACACGAAGTTTTAGAAAATAAAGAGAAAAAAGGGAATACATTATAAACTTATTAAACGCCGTTTGGTGAAGAAAACGTATGTAGTGGACACACTGAATACATTAAATAATTGGGAAATAGCACAATCATGTCTCTGAATTTGTTTCTTCTATATACCTTTCCGCTTACCATTTTTGTGCTTGTTTTGCTATTAAATAGATGGTGGTATAATCTGATTGTCGATTTCATTTTTGAAGTAAACAATATATAGATTAAGCGTTATAATGGCTATGATAAAATGAAAATATAGGAGTTTTGTCCTGTGTCATTCATGGTTTTTTTCCTCTTCCTTCTTACAATTGTGTTAGAGGTGTGATTCGTACTATAAATACAGCTATATATCCCTTCCGGCGCGGGACGTTTGCGCTTTTACATAGGACGTTTGTGCTTTTTTAAATGGACATTTGCGCTTTTTATATAGGACATTTGCGCTTTTACAATATTTACTTCTCATGACTTCCCTCCTATTTTATCCGAGCTTTGGACCTGGCAGAGTTAAAAAAATAGTCATTTTTTTATTATGGTTAAAAGTCATTACGTAGCACATTCGTGTGTTTAAAAGTCTCCCGATTCACAATTTATTAGATATCGATCGACGGCAATTGCCAATGAAGGCTAATTAACACCAAGCGTGACATGTATATAATAAGAGGGTGATAAAATTTCGGCAAATATCATCTGCTTTTGATGTGGGTCCAGTATTTTATCTATGGCTATTATATCTATGGTTAAACTGATAAAACACATGAAATACCGAATAGACAATGCGAACTCAGAAATAATGTAACACTTCAAAAAACAAATTGACATTTAAATGATCGCCAAACTGTTAAAATCGATAGTGTAAATCCTCTCCACGTGATTAAGATATTTAAATATTTTCGTTGTGATCATTCAAAAGTAATATGTTGGATTATTCTTAAATCAATAAGGCAGCGACAGGTAGATAGACCTGTGGTGTACCTCACTCTGGATTATCTGACCGCTGATAACAGCCGTATAAAGACCGTATTGATTTTGTCACACAAAAATGAAGCCATAACGTAAGTATTATTTGTATCTATATAATGTGTTATTTCCTAGACGGGGAAGTAGATCTGTATATTTTTAACTAGGTGACTCGTCACTAGCGAGTATTGTATACGTGTGTCGTGTTGTTTGAAAGTATGTGCTCGAGTGTACGTTTAAGTAAAATCTTGAAACCTTGGCGACATTACCATGTTTTTTCAATAACTAATTATGGAAAGATAGGTATGTGATTAATTTATACTGCTGTCAATCAACCATTTTCTGCGTGAATGTAATGCTTAAAATGTATGTACACCGTGTTGGGGAGTCGTAAAAAACGAAAAATACTTCACTATCCTCCTGGTCAGAACCTAAGATTCTTTTCCTGAATATGCATGAAATATTATTCCAGTGGACGTTAAGTAAACATCAATCAATTAATCAAACACGAATGGTATATAAGGATGATAAAAAAAGAAAGATCAGAAGTTGCTAATATGGAATGAAAGGGATTGGTTGGGAGGGGGACGGGTTTACAAATAGTTCCTGTAATTCTCGTAAACATTTGGTATTACAGATCATATATTACAAATGTTACACCGTGTAAATGCACAGGCAGCTACAGGTTAGCCCATGAGGGTCGCTCAATATTTTTTTTTACAAGTACAAAATAAAAGTGAATTGTTAAAATTTTAATTTAATTAAGCATCAATTTATTAGACATGAATGAAATTTTGTGAATTTTTTGCTATATTTTGTAAAATTTAGACTCTTCATTCTTTATTGACTTTATTTTACAAGATAACGTCAACTTTCCAATTTTGACTTTATGAGTTAAATACAGGGGAAATGTCGTTTTCTTTTTAATTGTAAATAATTATTCATTTATATTTCTAAACCTTTGAAACAATTTTTATTAGTATAACTGTATAACTATTATTCTGTATAAGTAGTACATTTCTATGACTTTTTAAGTATGTAAATGTAGTGTTCAGTGCAATGGGTTAAAAATATATAACTAGTTTTTAGTTCATTAAACACCAACAATGGCACGCGGACCGATTTTATACTAAATAACGTTAGTTTTATAAGTAAATATATACATTAAAGGACACTATTGATTAAATGTATTTAAAATACATATAAATCTTACTATAAACAGCTGTTTTAAACTTAAACAAGATAGGTTATCTAAATATTACAAGTACATGCAGCAGAGTCAACTTCCGTGAGAACTGAAAATAAAACGGAAAACATAGTGGTTATGGACGACAATCTAGGGGAGATAATCATTATTTCTTGAATTTCTTGATTGTTTTGTTTATATTATATTTTAATACAGCACCGGTATGAGGATATCCCCTAAAGTTATTCACAGTACAATTATCATGCACAATTATACATTTATTTCCCGTGCCTGAGGGAGATATTAAAATTTGTTCATAATACTATAATAGTACTTCCATGCCAATACTTAAATACTGCAATGTCAATCCGTGCTAACACTACAATACTTCCAAGACAAAAAGATAGAACCGTCATGCTAATACTAAAGTACCCCCAAGCCAATAGTATAATACTGTTATGCAAAACATAGTACTTCCGAGCTAAAACTTTAGTACTGTCATGCCAAACCCATAGTACTTCCAAGCCAATAATATAGTATTGTCATGCTAAACCCATAGTACTTCCAAACCAATAATATAGTATTGTCATGCTATTACTACAATACTCACAAGCCTATAGTATAATACTGTCATGCTAAGACCATAGTACTTCCAAACCAATTATATAGTACTGTCATGCTAATACTACAATACTCACAAGCCTATAGTATAATATTGTCATGCTAAGACCATAGTACTTTAAAGCTTAAAAAAATAGTACTGTCATGCCAAAACCATAGTTCTTCCAAGATTATAGTAAAGTACTTTCATGCCAAATCCATAGTACTTCCAAACTAAAAGCATACTAAGTACTGCCGTGTCAAAACTATAGTATTTCCAAGCTAATAGTACCATACTTACTTTCAAGCAAGTAATATAGCAATGTGATGCTAAAACTGTGGTAATTCCATGATAATACTACAATACTTTCAAGTAAATAACATAGCAATTTGATGCCAAAACTGTGGTAACTCCATGATAATACTACAATACTTTCAAGCAAATATTATAGTACTATCATGTCAATACTATAGTACTTTCATGCCAATTCTTTAATACTTCCATGCCAATTTTACAGTACTACCATGACAATGCTACAGTACTACCATGCCAAATACTATAGTTCTACCATGCCAAATACCACAGTACTTTCATGCTTAAACTTTACTACTTTCTTTTCAAACCTATAGTACTTCTTTGCCCATTCTATAGTACTACCATGGGAAAATCACAGTACTTTCAAGCCAATAATATAACACTGCCATGATAATACTACAGAACTCACAAGCCTATAGTATAATACTGTCATTCCAAAACCATAGTATTTCTAAGCCAATAATATACAACTCTCATGCTTAAACAATAGTACTTCTAAACCAATAATATAGTACTGTCATACCAAAACCATAGTACTTCCAAACCAATAATATAGTACTGTCATACCAAAACCATAGTTCTTCCAAGCCAATAATACAGCACTGTCATGCCAAACCCAAAGAACTAACAAACAAATTATATAGTACTGTCGTGCTAATACTACAGTACTCACAAGCCTATAGTATAATACTGTCATGTCAAAACCATAGTACTTCCTAGCTAAAAAAATAGTACTGTCATGCCAAAACCATAGTACTTCCAAGCTTATGGTATAGTACTGTCATGCCAAAACCATAGAACTTCCAAGCTAAAAATATAGTACTGTCATGCCAAAACTATAGTAACTCCATGCTAATACTACCATACTTCCAAGCTAATGATATAGAAATGTGATGCCAAAACGGTAGTAACTCCATGATAAAACTACAATACTTTCAAGTTAATAATATAGTACTATCATGTCAATACTATAGTACTTTCTTGCCAATTCTTTAGTACTCCCTTGCCAATTTTACAGTACTACCATGGCAAAATCACAGTACTTTTAAGCCAATATTATAGTACTATTATGCCAAATACCATAGTACTACCACTCCAAATAATATAGTATGTCCATGCCAACTACTATAGTATATCCATGCCAATACTATAGTACTACCATGCCAAATACTATAGTTCTACAATGCCAAATACTATAGTACTACCATGCCAAATACTATAGTACTACCATGCCGAATACTATAGTTCTACCATGCCAAATATTATAGTACGTTCATGCCAGTATTACTATATTACCAAGCAAATACTATAATACTGGCACGTTGATACTCCAGTACTTCCAAGCTAATGGTATTGTACTGTCATGTCAAAACTTTAGTACTTCCATGTAAATACTACCATACTTCCAAGCGAATAATATAGCAATGTAATGCTAAAACTGTAGTAACTCCTTGATTATACTACAGTACTTCCATGCTTGAACTTTACTACTTTCTTGCCAAACCTCTAGTACTTCCTTGTCAATTCTATAGTACTACCATGGCAAAATCACAGTACTTTCAAGCCAATACTATAGTAATTCCATGCCAAATACTATACATTTTGACATTTTGTAGTACGTCCATGCCAATATTACCAAGCCAATACTTTAATATTGTCATGCCAATACACTACAGTACTTCCATACCAAAACTATAGTATATTTCATGCCAATAAAAGTATACTTTAACGCCAAGCCTGTAGCAGTTCCATACCAATATTAAAGTACTTCCGTGACAAAACTATAGTACTCCCATGCTAAATATATAGTATTTACATGATTGCCAATGAGACAACTATCCACCCAAGTTCAAATAAAGTGACTAAGCAGTTATAGGCAACCATACGGCCTTCAACAATGAGATAAACCCATACCGTATAGTCGGCTATAAAATTTATATATTAATGTCATGCCAATAATTTAGTACTTTAAAGCCATTACAATAATACTTCTATACTAAAACTATTGTATTTCTATACAAATACTTAAGTATTTCCATGAAAAAAATATAGTACCTCAACGCCAATACTATAGTATTTCATACCGATACAAAAGACCCTATACCCCTACTCCCACTATCTGACCTCAATTATATTACCTAGACAGTTGTAATTACGGAACATCAACACTGAAACATCGCAGAATGGCACAATGTTTACTTAGTTATGCAGTGCAATAATGCATTCGTGAGAGACTGATGATTTTTCTAATTTTTCTTTTACTTTTTCAATTTATTGTTCGTTTTTTAGGAGGGGATTTACTGGTATAAAGATCTAATGGAGAGCGTCAAGACATTCCCGGTCAAGTGGAAACAGCTATGTCGAACAAACGCCAGGATCAAGTTGGAACAAATGGATTTTTTATTTGGACATATGGAAAGTTTTACATGTTTTGCTTTATTGCAGTTATATGTTTTTTCCTATTGGAATATGCGGACTTCTCGGGATCAATTAGTATTCAAACTTTACCAAAAATGATCAAACACAGTGAAATGAAAGAGATTCATCAAGATGTATTATTAGGAGTAACCAAAGGCTTGCGTTTTCCCCGGAAAACGACAGTGAGTACTGTAGCTAAAAATACGGCAACAAAACCGATCTCTGCTAAACAGGTTACTGCTAGACAATCAAATAGTAGTCAGGATTTGACTGACTTCAAAAAGACACATTTTATGACCGCCAATGGTAAAGGTCGTCTTGGAAACCAACTATTTCAAGTAGCTTGTCTCATTGGTACCGCATACCGCCATAATTACACACCGTTTATTCCACGTAACCATCGCCTGAACCGTGTATTAGACCTGAAACAAGCAAGGGACATACACATGACAAATACTGCTAGCTTAGGGGAGGGAAAAGCAATGGCTTACAACAGTCAAGTTGAAGCATTATCCCATGATAAAAACTGGACGTTAAATGGATATTTTCAATCATGGAAATATTTTCATCATTGCAGACATGAAATCACCAGCTCGTTTAAATTTAAGCAAAATACAAAAAGAAAAGTGATTGAAATTCTTAAGACAGTCAATGCCAAAGGACGGCCATTGATAGGTGTACACATTAGGAGAGGTGATATGTCGACGAGTTCTGAAATGAAACGAGGCTACAATGTAGCAACACCAGAATTTATTACAAAAGCATTTTCATATTTTAGAAACAACACAAACAAACCATTATTCTTAGTTGTGTCTGATGATCCCCGGTGGTGTAAAGCTCATGCTCAAGGACCGGATGTTATATACGCAGGAACCGGAAGTCCGGAAACAGACATGGTGTTATTAACATTTTGCAATCATACAATTATCACCTCTGGATCGTTCGGGTGGTGGGGAGCATATCTAAGTGGGGGTAAAACAGTTTATTTCAGTGATTTTCCTCGTAAGGGAAGCTGGCTAGCTTCAATATATAACCGTGACGATTACTATCTCCCAGAATGGATTGGGATGCAATAGATATGTATATGCTGGTTTGAACGTTTTAGTGTTTGACATAAATGTCGAATGTTTAAAAAAAAAACACTTTACATTAGTGACGTCATTACCTTCCTAAGAAATATAAAGTATACTTGATGTAACGGATGTACATACTTAGGTCAGTTTTAGGAATTTTTGTCAGATGTTCCTACGATACAGGGTAAAATAGTTTGCCCCATAACACCCATTTTTCTTTTCATATAAGACTTCAATAGCTCATAAAAGGTCATTTACCAAAATTGAAGCAGATTCTATTCTTTCGATTAGAGACCCAAATAATACCAATGCAAATATAGAGTAAAAGTCCGAGCAAGCCTTTTCCCGCCATTTAAAAAAAAAATAGATATCTCGAAAAGGAGCTCCATAACCTATCAATATTTTTAGCTTATTTTGTTCCTTTACTTATGTTCTTCTGATTTATAGTAGCAATTTTAAATTCTAGATTTTTTTTAATTAATTGTTTCAACATATTTTCGTAAAATTAAAATTGAATTGGCCAGTTGCAAAAAAGTGGTTAATGTTGGGTTGTTGTCTCTTTGACACATTCCCCATTTCCATTCTCAACTTCATTAATACATGAGTTGTACCGTCTGTAAATTACTGTTAAAAGTACATGGTCAAAATATAGATCAGCATGAATGGGTAGCTCAAGAAGGGTTTCGTGGATTGTAGTCGTTCTTTTTTCAAATATTTTTTAATCGTCAAAATCGACATAAAAAAACCGTAAACCTTATTTTACCTGATAGAACCACACTTGGAAAAATCATGGTTTCACGTGCAAATCTATTAGAACATTACGAACCATCGAAACTTTTTCAATCCCTTGTGAGAGAACGTGTTCGGTCGAGAACAAGAGAGTAAGATTATGAACTTTGAGTGGTATTTTGGAACTCAGTATATTTAGTTTTATCAATTAAATTATCACGACCAAAAATATCATGAACATATGCAGTATTCGCGAATGTTTAGAATTTAAAATATTTGACATTGCCTTGATAATTTTATCGGAGAAATGTGAACTATGAACTATCGATGCATGTATTATTTTTGCCAAATCTATTTATGCAAATTATTATTTTTATAAGTTTTGTTAATAAAATAAAGATATAAAAATAACTTTCTGCATCATGTTGTTTTCGTATGTTACTCTCTCTCTCTCTCTCTCTCTCTCTCTCTCTCTCTCTCTCTCTCTCTCATGTTAATGAATATAGCTACCAATAAACATATTGAGAAGAAAACAAACTTCAATAAAACGAGTCTAAACTCGAGTGCTTACATGACAAAGTCATTCATACTCGACGGATGGTCTCCACAACATATTGTTTAAAATTACACAGGAGTCATAGAAATAAGGATCTATACCATGGGATGTATATGTACATACAACAGATGAAAAAGTAAATTAGATGAAGTCTTTTTTCTTCACTGTGAAAAGTTGTGAAATAGTTCATCATGCAATGCAACTCATTAACTGGGTTGGTAAATAAGCTTGGTAAATTAATTATCCGTAATTTTATGTAAACGCACAATTAAATTTGCGGGAAACATTATTTTGCTAAAATATACATATCCGTAAAAGGTAGAGTACCCGACCTGTTTAATGTATTCATGGTGTAAGTTGTCATGAAGCGAATGACCATACAGAACAATCATTTGAATTCATTAGAACAAGTTTAAATTAAAAAAAAATGTTACCGATACAAGATAAAAAAAAAACATTAAGGAAAACAATAAAAAAACTAAAAGGTTTCTATTTTCTAAAAATATATGAAGTGTCCAGTTAGTTGTATCAAACATGTATATTTACATCATCTGTTGTTTTGTGTGTGTGTGGTTTTAGGAGAAATTGACGCCATATGTATTCATATTTAGTAGTTTTGTTTGTTTATATTTTTGTACATTCTCGCAAGTAACTTAAAAACTTCTCAAAATATAAAAACAAGAAGAAAAAAGTTAATTAATTCCTAACTCGCTAAGAGTACAACATGTTAAGAAAACCACTATGCAAGCAATATCAAGGCCAGAAACATAGAAAAAATGCCTAGCAATCCATTTTATAACATATAACATTTTATAAAAAAGGAATAAAAAAAAATAATCGCCAAGCAATTTCACAGCTTCTCATAACATGGTCAGAGTAGCTCTAATACAATATCAACAATTGTGGAATTGTTTCTGTCCTAGGAAAAAAAATTATGTTTAAAATACCCGAATTAAATTCAGTCAATGACATAAGACTTTCGCACGATTAACAAACAAACGACACAAAAAATCCGAAAGATATGTATGTACTTTTAGATTTTCGAAAACTGGAGGCGTCTGAACATTTCAGTAATCTCGTCAAGTTTAGAAAGTGGATGTCAAATTTCTTTAAAATGCACTAAAATATCTGGGTTTTTTTTGGCACACAATAGATGTTTATGACCTGGTGAAAATGTTTTTATTACTTTGTTTCATAATTTGCTTCATAGTTTCAGTCATTCATCCTCAGTTTTTGTTTTTTCTACTTCTGGTCTAGCAACACCTTTACAAATGCATAACTGTGACTTTAAGATGACGAACAACAATAAAAGCAATACAATTCAGATGTGTTTCAAGTTTAAAACAAGCAGTTCCTATAATGTAACTACAGCTTAAAATAGTTACAGTTACTCATACAACGGACAAGTTGTTGACAGAATTTCCCTGGCCGTACATAAAGTAAAAGATTCGGCCAATGGAAGCATTTATTATTATACCTATATAATTTAAGATGTGGGTTTTTAATTTGTCGACTGATACGTTTGTTCCGACTTCTTAATTACATTTATTATTTTTTTACCTGTATAAATAATGAATAGTCAAGCGGCCGAGTACGGCTCGTGGTATTCTTAATACAAAAAATAACTTTCAATTTTTCCGATATCGGCACTATGACATACAACATATAGAATAATGAGAGTGGTATGGTTACATGTACCAAGCTGTCCAACAGAGTCCAAATGAAATGGATTTAAGCAACTGTAGGTCACCGTTCGGCCTTCAATAAAGAGCAAACCCTTATCGGATAGTAAACTATAAAAGGTCCCGACATGACAAAACGGTTTGATTTATAACAAATCAATAAACGTAAAACAAATATAACAGACAGCAACCAAAGGCAACCACTGAAGTACAGGCTCCTAACTTTTGTCAGGAACATATAGAATATGGCCGTTTTAAACATATTTTTGAGTGTTCAATCCGCCCCTAACCTGGGTCAGTGGTGTAACAGCACAGTTTAAGAACAATCTGTAAATGTCAGTTGGAAATGGCTTGACTCATAAGATTGGAAGAAAGCAAAACACAAAAAAACAGCTAACATAAAGATAAAAGATACAAAATACCGATCTTAGAGAACTCGAAGTTACTGAAAGCTAGTTCAAAGCCAATAATGTTAACAACCAATGTCCTCCTAGGCAATAGTCATCACGGAACATCAACACTGAATCATCGCATAATGGCACGATTTTTAAACAATTATGCAATGAAATAATGCGTTCGTGAGACAATGACCTTTTTTTCTAATTTTTCTTTTACTTTTTCAATTTATTGTTCTTATTTTCTGCAGGAGGATATTTACTAGTATAAAGATCTAAAGGAGAGCGTCAAAACATTCTAGGTCAAGTGGAAACAGCTATGTCGAACAGACGCCGAGATCAAGTTGAAACAAATGGATTTTTTATTTGGACATATGAAAAGTTTTACATGTTTTGCTTTATTGCAGTTATATGGTTTTTCGTATTGGAATATTCGGACTTCTTGGGATCAATTAGTATTCAAACTTTACCAAAGTTGATCAAAAACAGTGAAATGAAAGAGATTCATCAAGATGTAACATTTGGAGTTACAAAAGGCTTGCATTTTTCCCGGAAAACGATAGTGGGCACTGTAGCCAAACATACGGCAACAAAACCGATCTCTGCTCAACAGGTTACTGCTAGACAATCAAATAGTAGTCAGGATTTGACCGACTTCAAAAAGGCACATTTTATGACCGCCAATGGTAAAGGTCGTCTTGGAAACCAACTATTTCAAGTAGCTTGTCTCATTGGTACCGCATACCGCCATAATTACACACCGTTTATTCCACGTAACCATCGCCTGAACCGTGTATTAGACCTGAAACAAGCAAGGAACATACACATGACAAATACTGCTAGCTTAGGGGAGGGAAAAGCAATGGCTTACAACAGTCAAGTTGAAACTTTATCACATGATAAAAACTGGACGTTATATGGATATTTTCAATCATGGAAATATTTTCATCATTGCAGACATGAAATCATCAGTTCGTTTAAATTTAAGCAAAATACCAAAAGAAAAGTGATTGAAATTCTTAAGACAGTCAATGCCAAAGGACGGCCATTGATAGGTGTACACATCAGGAGAGGTGATATGTCGACGAGTTTTGAAATGAAACGAGGCTACAATGTAGCAACACCAGAATTTATTACAAAAGCATTTTCATATTTTAGAAACAATACAAACAAACCTTTATTCTTAGTTGTGTCTGATGATCCCCGGTGGTGTAAAGCTCATGTTCAAGGACCGGATGTTATATACGCAGGAACCGGAAGTCCGGAAACTGACATGGTGTTATTAACATTTTGCAATCATACAATTATCACCTCTGGATCGTTCGGGTGGTGGGGGGCATATCTAAGTGGGGGTAAAACAGTTTATTTCAGTGATTTTCCTCGTAAGGGAAGCTGGCTAGCTTCAATATATAACCGTGACGATTACTATCTCCCAGAATGGATTGGGATGCAATAGATATGTATATGCTGGTGTGAGCGTTTTAGTGTTTGACATTAATGTCGAATGTTTAAAAAAATAACACTTTACGTTAGTGACGTCATTATTTCCCTTAGGATGTACTTACTTGTCTGATGTTCGGACTCCTTTATTTTTTTCCTACGATACAAAGTAAAATATTTTGCCCCATAACACTCATTTTTCTTTTCATATAAGACTTCAATAGCCCATAAAAGGTCATTTACCAAAATTTAAGCAGATTCTAGAATTCTATTATTTCAATTAGAGACCCAAATAATACCGATGCAAATATAGAGTAAAAGTCCGAGCCAGCCTTTTCCCTTCATCTTTGAAAAATTAGATATCTGGAAAAGGAGCTCCATAACCTATCAATATTTTTAGCTTATTTTGTTCCTTTGCTTATGTTCTTCTGACTTATAGTATAAATTTTGAATTCTAGATTTTTTTAATTCACCTAAGTACATGCTTAAGCATGCAACAGAACAAACAATCCGTCTAAACTTGTGCCACCTGTGCACAGATTAAGCTGTTTTAATGACAAATAAGTAATTTGAACACCTGATTATTTGAATATATTTTCGTAAAATTAAAATTGAACTGACCAGTTGCAAAAAAGTGGTTAATGTTGGGTTGTTGTCTCTTTGACACATTCCCCATTTCCATTCTCAATTTCATTAAAACACGAGTTGTACCGTCTGTAAATTACTGTTGAAAGTACATGGTCAAAATATAGATCAGTATAAATGGGTAGCTCAAGAAGGGTTTCGTGGATTGTAGTCCTCCTTTTTTCAAATATTTTTTAAGCGTCAAAATCGACAAAAACAGCCGTAAACCTTATTTTACCTGATGGAACCACGCTTGGAAAAAATCATAAATCCACGCATGAGACTCTTTTCACAAAAAGTCTTACGACTTATATTGTTCGTAAGTTAATTTTTTTCTCGTAAGATGTTTTGTGAATACCGTCGTTTTCTGTTTGCATTTTTTTTTTAGGGAGCGTGGGGAGGTAATGGGAGGGTCACTCTTTCAATTGACATTATTTACGTTTGCATTTCCCATTATTGATGAAGAGATGCGTAATGAACGTGGTTTCTCGTGCAAATCTATTAGAACATTACGAACCATCGAAACTTTTTCAATCCCTTGTGAGAGAACGTGTTGGGTGAGAACAAGAGAGCAAGATTATGAACTTTGAGTGGTATTTTGGAACTCAGTATATTTAGTTTTATCAATTAAATTATCACGACCAAAAATATCATGAACATATGCAGTATTCGCGAATGTTAAGAATTTAAAATATTTGTCATTGCCTTAATAATTTTATCGGAGAAGTGTGAACTATGAACTATCGATGCATGAATTATTTTTACCAAATCTATTTATGCAAATTATTATTTTTATAAGTTTTGTTAATAAAATAAAGATATTAAAATAATTTTCTGCATCAGGTTGTTTTCGTATGTTACTCTCTCTCTCTCTCTCTCTCTCTCTCTCCTGTTAATGAATATAGCTACCAATAAACATAGTGAGAAGAAAACAAACTTCAATAAAACGAGTCTAAACTCGAGTGCTTACATGACAAAGTCAGTCATACTCGACGGATGGTCTCCACAACATATTGTTTAAAATTACACAGGAGTCATAGAAATAATGTTCTATACCATGGGATGTATATATACATACAACAGATGAAAATGTAAATAAGATGAAGTCTTTTTTCTTCACTGTGAAAAGTTGTGAAATAGTTCATCATGCAATGCAACTTATTAACTGGGTTGGTAAATAAGCTTGGTAAATTAATTATCCGTAATATTATGTAAACGCACAATTAAATTTTCGGGAAACATTATTATGCTAAAATAAACATATCCGTAAAAGGTAGAGTACTCGACCTGTTTAATGTATTCATGGTGTAAGTTGTCATGTAGCGAATGACCATACAGAACAATCATTTGAATTCATTAGAACAAGTTTAAATTAAAAAAAATGTTACCGATACAAGATAAAAAACATTAAGGAAAACAATAAAAAACTAAAAGGTTTCTATTTTCTAAAAATATATGAAGTGTCCAGTTAGTTGTATCAAACATGTATATTTACATCAGCTGTTGTTTTGTGTGTGTGTGGTTTTAGGAGAAATTGACGTATTCATATTTATTAGTTTTGTTTGTTTATATTTTTGTACATTCTTGCAAGTAACTTAAAAACTTCTCAAAATATGAAAAAAGAATAAAAAAAGTCAATTAATTCATAATTCGCTAAGAGTACAACATTATAAGAAAACCACTGTACAAGCAATATAAAGACCAGACACATAGAAAAAATACCTAGCAATCCATTTTATAACATATAACATTTTATACAAAAGGAATAAAAAAAAATAATTGCCAAGCAATTTCACACCTTCCCATAACATGGCCAGAGCAGCTCTAATACAATATCAGCAATTGTGGAATTGTTTCTGTCCTAGGAAAATGTATGTTTAAAATACCCGAATTAAATTCACTCAATGACTTAAGACTTTCGCACGATTAACAAACAAATGACACAAAAAATCCGAAAGATATGTATGTACTTTTAGATTTTCGAAAACTGGAGGCGCCTGAACATTTGAGTAATCTCGTCAAGTTTGGAAAGTGGATGTCAAATTTCTTTAAAATGCACTAAAATATCTGGGTTTTTTTTTTTGGCACACAATAGATGTTTATGACATTGTGAAAATGTTTTTATAACTTTGTTTCATAATTTGCTTCATAGTTTCAGTCATTCATCCTCATTTTTTTGTTTTTTCTACTACTGGATTAACAACACCTTTACAAACGCCTAACTGTGACTTGTAGATGACGAACAACAATAAAAGCACTGTTTTTTATGTGCGCACGTGTAGTGATTTTGCATTCATAACCCATTCCTCTAAAATTGATAAACTTGTTTTAAAGAGGTCAAAGGAATTTATACTAGACAATGCTCACTTCATTGTTAATTTACACAGGTACACCAGTGCATAGCAATAGACAAATCCTTATCCACTACTCTGCTGCAACGAAACACAAAAAAGGCGAGCGCCAAAGCCGCGCGTTGAGCATTTTTTTTTTATCTGAGCATGCAAGTTATATGTTTTATACATTATATTTAATTAATTAGATGAACCAAATATTTAACGTGAGATTCAGAGAAAAAATACATCGAAACTATTGTACTCCCAAGCTAAGAGTATAGTACTTTCATGTCAAAACTATTGTACTTCCAATCTAATAGTATAGTACTTTCATGCTAAAACCATAGTACTTCCAAGCTAATAGTATAGTACTTTCATGTCAAAACAATTGTACTTCCATTTTAAAACTACAATACTTCCATGCAAATAATATAACAATGTGATGCCAAAACTGTAGTAATTCCATGATAATACTACAATACTTTCAAGCAAATAATATAGTACTATCATGTCAATACTATAGTACTTCCTTGCCAATTATACAGTACTGCCATGGCAAAATCACAGTACTGTTAAGCCAATACTATAGTACAACCATGACAAATACTATAGTACTTTCCTGCCAATACTACTATATTACTAAGCAAATACTATAATACTGGCACGCTAATACTACAATACTTTCATGCTAAAACTTTACTATTTTCTTGCCAAACTATAGTACTTCCCTGCCATTCTACAGTAATACCATGCAAAATCACTATACTTTCAAACCAATACTATAGTACTACCATGTCAAATACTATAGTACATTGTACTTCCATGCCAAATACTATAGTACGTTCATGCCAATATAACTATGTTACCAAGCAAATACTATAATACTGACAGTACTTCCAAGCTAAAACTTTACTATTTTCTTGCCAAACTTATAGTACTTCCTTGCAAATTCTACAGTACCTCCAAGCTAAAACTTTACTACTTTCTTGCCAAACTTATAATACTTCCTTGCATTGCAAATTCTATAGGACTACCATGGCAAAACCACTATACTTTCAAGCCAATGCTATAGTACTACCATGTGAAGTATTATACATTTTGTATACGTCCATGCCAATATAACAAAGCCAAAACTTTAATTTTTTCAAGGCAATAAAAGTATACTTTACCGCTAAGCCTGTAGCAGTTACATACCAATACTAAAGTACTTCCGTGACAAAACTATAGTATTTCTATACAAATACTGAAGTATTTCCATTAAAAAACTATAGTTCCTCACCGCCAATACTATAGTATGACATACCGATACAAAAGGCCCACCTACTCCTACCATCACAATCATACCTCAATTATGTTTACTTTTCACATAGTCAGGACCCCCCCCCTCCCCCCCCCCCCCGGGTTAACTTAAATTTTATAGCAACTAAATTCTTTTAGCATTTTGTAGCATTTAGGCTGAAATCTTGATAATTTTTCATAAAATAGACTTGGATTTTGTGTTCAGATTTTCTTTTAATTCGATGAAATAAAGAGAACATATATTCTAATGGCTTTTTTTTTTATTCCAAAGCCATCTTCTGTTCAATATTTCCTTCCTTGACTGATACAATTCAGATGTGTTTCAAGTTTAAAACAAGCAGTTCCTATACTGTAACTACAGCTTGAAATAGTTACAATTACTCCTACAACGGACAAGTTGTTGACAGAATTTCCCTGGCCGTATATAAAGTAAAAGATTCGGTCAATGGAAGCATTTATTTTCCCTGGCCGTACATAAAGTAAAAGATTTGGCCAATGGAAGCATTTATTATTATACCTATATAATGTAAGATGTGGGTTTTTAATTTGTCGACTGATACTTTTGTTCCGACTTTTTTTTTACCTGTATAAATAGTAAATAGTCAAGCGGCCGAGTACGGCTCGTGGTATTCTTAATACAAAAAAATAACCTCAATTTTTCCCGATATCGGCACTATGACATACAAAATATAGAATAATGAGAGTGGTATGGTTACCAAGCTGTCCAACAGAGTCCAAATGAAATGGATTTAAGCAACTGTAGGTCACCGTTCGGCCTTCAACAAAGAGCAAACCCTTACCGGATAGTAAACTATAAAAGGTCCCGACATGACAAAACAGTTTGATTTATAACAAATCAATAAACGTAAAACAAATATAACAGACAGCAACCAAAGGCAACCACTGAATTACAGGCTCCTAACTTTTGACAGGAACATATAGAATATGGCCGTGTTAAACATGTTTTTGAGTGTTCAATCCGCCCCTAACCTAAGTCAATGGTGTCACAGCACAGCATAAGAACCATCTGTAAATGTCAGTTGGAAATGGCTTGACTCATTAGATTGGAAGGAAGCAAAACACAAAAAAAAGCTAACATAAAGATAAAAGATACAAAATACCGATCTTAGAGAACTCGCAGTTACTGAAAGCTAGTTCAAAGCCAATAACAACCAATGTCCTCCTAGGCAATAGTCATCACGGAACATCAACACTGAAACATCGCATAATGGCACGATTTTTAAACAATTATGCAATGAAATAATGCGTTCGTGAGAGACTGACGTTTTTTCTAATTTTTCTTTTTACTTTTTCAATTTATTGTTCTTCTTTTCTGCAGGAGGATATTTACTTGTGTAAAGATCTAAAGGAGAGCGTCAAGACATTCTAGGTCAAGTGGAAACAGCTATGTCGAACAGACGCCAAGATCAAGTTGAAACAAATGGATTTTTTATTTGGACATATAAAAAGTTTTACATGTTTTGTTTTATTGCAGTTATATGGTTTTTCGTATTGGAATATTCGGACTTCTTGGGATCAATTAGTATTCAAACCAAAGTTGATCAAAAGCAGTTTATGACCGCTAATGGTAAAGGTCGTCTTGGAAACCAACTGTTTCAAGAAGCATGTCTCATTGGTACCGCTCACTGCCATAATTACACACCGTTTATTCCACGTAACCATTGCCTGAACCGTGTATTAGACCTGAAACAAGCAAGGGACATACACATGACAAACACTGCTAACTTAGGGGAGGGAAAAGCAATGGATTACAACAGTCAAGTTGAAACTTTATCCCATGATAAAAACTGGACGTTAAATGGATATTTTCAATCATGGATATATATTCATCTTTGCAGACATGAAATCATCAGTTTGTTTAAATTTAAGCAAAATACCAAAAGAAAAGTGATAGAAATTCTTAAGACCATCAATGCTAAAGGACGACTATTGATAGGTGTACACATCAGGAGAGGTGATATGTCGACGAGTTCTGAAATGAAACGAGGCTACAATGTAGCAACACCAGAATTTATAACAAAAGCATTTTCATATTTTAGAAACAATACAAACAAACCTTTATTCTTAGTTGTTTTTGATGATCCGCGATGGTGTAAAGCGCATGCTCAAGGACCGGATGTTATCTACGCAGGAACCGGAAGTCCGGAAACAGACATGGTGTTATTAA